CTTCTCCAGGGCCTGAGTGCTGTATCCCCAACACTTTACTGGATGCTAGAAGAAAACACAACAATCAGCATGTTAGACAATTGTCCTAGTGCTTTACACACATTAGCTCATTTACTAGTCCCAACAACCAGTGCAGTAAGTTTCATTATAATCCCCATTTACAGATGAGGAAACTGAGGCATAGGGAAGATTAAAACCAGTAAGTAAGAAAGCTGTGATTTGATCCCAGCCAGCCCAGCACCGGAGTCCACATTTTTAACCACTACACACACTACCTCTAAAAAAACAGTGAAGCCGATTGTCTTTACCCTCACGTTGCTCCAGGTTATCAAAGCAGAGTGCGTTATTAACATATAAATACGGTGCGTGAAACTTACACGGAGTCCTTCAAAATCCTGTTGTCAGCAAATGTCTATGGATATGGATTCTGGGAAACTTCAGTCAAATTCCCTTTCACAAGCCTAAGGATCTCTTGACATTCACTATTCATATATTTTCCTAGCTCTTTTGAGAATTAGCTATGACAGTTGTATATTTTTCTTAAAGAATTCAGACTGAAATCTGTGGTCCCTTCCAGACGGTAAGTGATCTACATTGCAGTGAAGGGGAAGAACATATAATACTTAAACAATTCCCTTGGAATTTACCTCTGTGCCCCAAACGTGTTTGCTCACCATTTAATTTTTCTCTTGGAAAATAAGGAACGTACATACTCAATAAATCTGCCTCAAATGAGGTAATTAAATTACGATTTGATGCCACTGTAGCCCACCAATTTTCCCAAAGGGCTAGAAACCTTTCCCCCATCCCAATCTCCCCACTGTTTGGATCAGCCTTCTGGTCATGCCCGCTGAGCTGGGCTGTGGGTTGCTGCCAATCCCTTTGTGTCCAGCCCTGGATCCATATGGGCTTCAGCAAGACTGCCGTCACTACGATAAGAAAAGAAAAGAATCCTGTTTGGAAGGAGTGCAGGAAAAGTTTGAATGGTACTCAGCATTGTTCTGGATAGGGAAGAAGTGGAGAGTAAAAATGAAACAAAATAAATAGTCTCTGGAGAAAGGTTTTTATATTTTGCATCTTTTATATTTTAAATTTTAACTTAAACATTTTGAATATTATACATATTCACATGTTTGAAAATCGAAAGACAAAGTGAAAGTTCTCCTCCCACCTTTCTTCACAGCCACCCAGGTCCCCTCCTTGAAGGCAGCCAGAGTTTCCAGTTTTGTGTGAATCCATCTGGAGATATTTAACACATAAGAAACAAACAGGAAGATTTGTCTGCTTCTTTTATTCATTACAAATGGTGATACACCAGTCATGCTCTTCCAGCTTTGCTGTTTTCACTTGAAGCATTCAGAGAGCATATACACAGCTTTGCCATTCTTTTCCCTTTATGGTTGCATAATATTCCATTTATGAAGGTACCGTAATTTACTTAACCAATCTCCCACTGCTGGGCATTTAGTTTGTTTCCAGTCTTTTGACAGTACATGCAATGCTGCAATGAATAAGCCTGTTTATACACAATTTCACACGTGTGAACATTTTCTGTAGGATAAATTCCTGCAGAAATAGAATTGCTAAATCAAAGAGTATACACTTATTTATAATATTTGTTAGATAATGCTGATTTCACCTTCCATAGAGATTGTACCAATTTACACTTCTACTAGCAATGCGTGAATGCTTGTTTTTCCCCATTTTTATTGACACAAGGATACACACGTTACACAGATACATAGATACATCTATAGACATATATTTACTTATATAGACATCTATCTATCTATTTGGTCAATATGATAGGGAGGGGAAAAGTTTCTCATGTGATTTTAATTTGCATTTCTCTTATTGTGAGATTGAACAGCTCTTCAGATGTTTAAGAGCTATTGGTATTTCTTTTTCTGTAAAAGAAAATTTTCTATATTATCCCTACTTTCTATTTTTACATTTTTCTGCTGGGTTTAATCTTTATCCATTTATTTTTGCAAGAGCTCTTTATATATTATAAAAATTAGCCTTTTTATATAATGTGAATTTCAAATTTTTTTCCTAGTTTATCTTTCTTCTTTGACTTTGCTCATGCAGTTTTTGCCACATGGGTGTCTACTTTTGATGCCATCAAATTTATTAATCTTTTCTTTTTTGGTTTCTGAGGTTGGTGTTATACTTTGAAAGGTCTTTCCAACTGTAAATTTGCATGAATATTGTCCCACAGTTTTTTCTGTTAAGTTCAAAGTTTCATGGTTTATATTTTCAAATATTTGATCCATTATGAATTTATACAGATATAAGATATGTGGTTTAAATGTTTTTAAAATCTGATGTGAACAGAGCCCAACGTCATTTATTAAACAATACATTTTTCCTCCACTGATTTAAAATGCCCCCTTTTCGTGTACTAAATTCCTTTATGTATTTGGGTCTATTTCTGGACTTGCTTTTTAATTCACTAGTGAGTTTCCGTGCACTGGTACTGCAATCATCAATGTATGATATTGATTGGCTCTTAATGGTTACAAGTCCCAGACCACCTCACTAGATGATGGCAATATGCTAGTGAACTCAAATATCTGTGTGGCAAAGCAGTAAATGTATCCTGGGTTTCCTGCCATGAGAAGGTAAATTGCGCCTGGCTGGAATCTGGAGCTGGCATTGTGAAGAATGCATTAGCCCAGTCTGTGATGGCATCCCAGTCTTGCTATGCTGGTTGCATTTCTTATAAAGGTCTTATATATTAGTCACAGCTGAAGCAATCAGAGGCTTGATCTTGTTTCATCACTGAGAGTCCACTCTTAACCTCTGGGAACTGTTGTCTCATATCCTGACCAGACAGGATTGTTAAAAGGGAGCTTGTGGGAATTAAATTTCCTGCTTCAGCTATGTCCTTAATCAGAATAGTCCTGTCTTGTTGCTTTCATGGAACTCAGTATTGCTTAGTGTTTGCTACCTAGGAGGGCTTGAGCCGTTCCAAAGGTACATATTTAGCATGGCCAAATAAAACCGAGTGAAAGGCATACTTAGTTAACGCTCTATTCACTTAAAGTTCATCCCAACTATATATTCAGGTAAAGTTGATGGGACCACAGAATAGTCACTCTGGTCACACTTTCCCATTCCTAACTTCATCTCTACCGTGGTTTTCTCTACCATGATATCTCTTGGATCACTTTTGGACCTTTTAGAGCACAGTAACTCTCCTGATGACAGTTAGTCTCAGGATGGCCATTGAGTGCCTGTACGTAGGAAGCCTAGAAAATTGCACGTGCCACCCTTTGGCTACTTCACCCAAACCATTGCCTAGGCCTCAGGCTGAGGGGTAACTGTTCCTCACCTGGGTACTGAGCCATCCCTGGTTGCTTTCCCTAAACTCTATCTATATGTTTTTAAATAGTCCTTTTTTTTTTTTTTAACCCAGATTCGGTGTACCATCTCGTTCCTGCCATAAAAACAAGTTCGTGTCATAAAAACAAGAAATTATAAGCCTTATATACTTTAATATTGAAAAAGACTGTGTGGAACCTACATACTTTGATTTAGCTCTAGCTAATAAAGTGTGATGTTAAAACCAGAGCCTGCGTCCTGTAATTAAGTTATCAAAGAAGAACGTATGGGAGCATAAAAGGTTTGTTAGTTCGTGAAAAGACAGGGCTGTACTCTGTAGAGCATTTCAGAGTAAGACGAGAGGGGGGAAGCTGAAAATGTAAGTGAGACATTTCTATAATGCAGTAACAATGTAACGCCAAACCTGTGTTGGGGGGACGCCCGCTTTATGTGCTTCTATCCAGTTTCTCTCTTGACAACTTAAGACTTTTTTTAAATTTTAGAAATAATAATCAATTCTTAGTTACACTTGTTAATTACTTGGAAACATAGCACAGCTAATATATAAAACTCTGACGTATGCAAATTTTGAATTTAAAATGTTTTCAATGTACTTCAGATTATGAACCAAAACTTATAGACGCTTATATTTGTATAAACATGGTGTTATTGTATATATTGTGACATATTTTAACAGCTAAGGAGGATCATTCTTACCTGAGTTTTGGTGACAAGAGAACTGAGTCTCAAAGAAATGTCCTTCCCATGTTCTCTTAAGTAAGACCGAGAAAGGGGATGAAAGTCTAAAATGGGAGAGTGAAACATCAGGAAGATGGAGAAACCTCAATAACGTGAGATGCAAAAATTGTGAAGGAGTCTCAGTCTGGAAATCTAAAATTTCAGCATCATTAATAAAAAGTTTGAAAAATTTTATAGAAAAGTTCCCATGGACTTAATAAATTTCCAGAAATCTGAATTTAGAAGGTATACTTAGTGTCTTGAAAGAGAGTTTTATGTTTAGAGAGGAAGGAAGGAAGGAAGGAAAGAAAGCAGGGAGAGAGAGAATGAATGAGGAAGGGAGAGAGGGAGGGAAAAGGTCCCTGAGCTGGGTGGAACACTCAAAATTTACACAACTAAGGAGGGCATATACTGGCAATAGAAATATTGTCAGTGAAATTTAGACGACTTTATGATGTTCAACTCACTGGAGTTTATGAGACATTGAGACATATACTACAACTAATTTTGAGTTATAGAGAAGAGTGAAACAATTATACACACTTTCTTTGTTGTTCTGTCAAAGAGAACACTGTGCAAAGGTAGTATTCTAGCCCAGGGTAGTGTTTCAAGAACAATAGCAATAAAATGATATTTATTGAGAGCTTACATCATGCGCCCCAGCCTGAGCTAAGTGCATTACATGGACTGTCTTTGAACTTTTGAAGGACGTAACACATTACCCTCATTTCACAGAGAAGAAAACTGAGGCTTGAAGAGGTTAAGTAGCTTTGCCCATGTCATGCAACGAATGCCCAGTGGAGTCTCGATTCTGAGATAAGTAACTGCTCTTGAACACGCTTCCCTGCATTTGAAGCAAGACGGTCCTCAGTGTGAAGAGATAGGTAAAGACACACACACACATGCCAAATCTTTAACAAATCAGGAGATTTCAATATCAGGGGAAATGGCTGTTTATTAACAACATATGGAAATAATGTCACATGAGATCATCACAATCACTATATAATTAGGATGATCACAGTGCTTGTCTGAAAATAGACGCATTTGGGCCTGGGTTAAAATCATTTGATGAATGTGCTTTCATCTGTCATTTCCTAGAACTGAATACCAACTCTGAATGTCAAATCAGAAGAGTTGGCAGCTAAGAGTCCATTCGCCAGTCACTGGCTGGCTCCAGCAGATTTTATATGACTTGTGAGGACATCCATAGTGTGACAAAGATTACAGGCAGAGATTCAGCAGCAGGAAGAGGCACAGCACACAGGGCGGGGGCAGGTGGAGATGACACAGGTGGGCCGATAGCAAGTGGTGTGGCAGGAGACCCAGCCACAGACTGGGCGCAGACAGCAGGAGGGGCGGCAGCAACTAGGAATGCAGCAGGTGGGCTGGCAGCACTCAGACTGGCAGCACTGGGGCCTGCAGCAGCTGGAGATGGAGCAGCTGGGGCGACAGCAGCTAGAGATGCAGCAAGTGGGCCTGCAGCAGCTGGAACCACAGCAGGAGGGGCGGCAACAACTAGAAATGCAGCAGCTGGGGTGGCAGCAGGTGGGCTGGCAGCACACAGACTGGCAGCACTGGGGCCTGCAGCAGCTGGACACACTGCAGCTGGGGCGGCAGCAGGTCTCCTGGCCACAGCCCTGGTCAGAGCAGACGGAGCCACAACAGGAGCTGACCATGGCGTCAGAGGGTGGAGGTTCTGGGTGGGTTTCCAGGAGAGTGAGGTTCTTGAGTTTGAAAGTCTTCTTGTGCCACTGCCTCTTATATTCTGCCTGAACAGGGGGAGTTGTCAACGCATTTTGTTTGTTTTTGTTTACTTAACATTTAAGTAATTATCAGATTACATAATAATGTTTGTCTATTTAATGGTTTAAACTGGGAAACAAAATTTTCTTTTCCACGTGTGATAAATTCTATCTGATCTGCTTTTCCTCCTGATTCACACCCCCCGGCATCTTTTAGACCACTCTCTCCTCACGCTCCTCCAAAGCAGGCTGCCATGTGATATTTGGCATTTGGAATTGAATTTCTTACTCTTCCCTCCAGTATCCCCTACCAGGATGGGACTTAGGTGGTCGTATTTCTGGTTGTGCTTTTCTTCCAATGACCAATGGGGAAGAAGTCTCATCAACATAATGTGGCATCTAGCATGGGACGAGAGGAAAAGGCCCTATTTTGTGGGTCATTTTTGAACAATGAGGAAGGGCACAGCTCTGCGTGTATGCGACATTGGTGACCTCTACACCACTGGAATGGATTTCCTCGGATGTTTCAAACTTTGGGTCATGTTCCATATTCTAAAACCCCAGCAGGCAATTTGTGTATATGGTTCCTGTTACTATAACACATAGTTTATTAAATTGTTGGTTCCTGTCTTATATGTCATATATGTTGTATCTCTCCAGCCAGTCTCTTAGCTTCTGGAAGACATAGCCTCGTTTTTATTCCTTATCTCATTCTTAATTAAAAATATTTCCTCAAAGGAGAAAAAAAAAATGTGGAATAATCAGAATGTGCCACTTTTCCGAACTTACCTTGAGAGCTTAGAAATCTACAGAACAAGTTTTTTTGGATAAATTTGACATGTGAATGGATTTTAGTAAATTCAACGTTAATTACTATTTCTACATATTCTCCAGGTACGATAGTCCAACTTGAGCATGCGTCAGAATCATCTGGAGGGCAGATTAAAAATGGTTGGAAATACTCCCAGAGTCTCTGATCGCAAATTGGAGCTTGAGATTCTGCATTTCTAACTGGTACCCAAATGATGCTGATGCAGAAGGTCCAAGGACCACATTTGGAGACCTACTGCTTTATTCTGTTCGATCAAGCTTTGAGGAAGTGCCTGTATCAAGTTCCTGCCTTGTTTATAAAGCAGATTTGTTGAGTGGGTAATCTGAAGGACACACATTGCCGGGCACTGCAGTTACAAATGTGGTGTAGTCTCCTCTTGGGGAATTTACAGTTCAGTGGGAAGACCACACACACACAACTGTAATACAATGTGGTAAAGCAACATCGAAAGAGCTCATAGCAGTGTGATTTAACTAAAAGCATTGTGCTTAAGGCAAGTTAGCCAACATGCCAATTTGGGAAAGACATAGATTTATTCATAAATAAATATTTCTAGTCACTATTTTTAATTTACTTTTTATAATTTACTTTATGTTTTAAGTAAAATTTACATACATTGAAATGCACAAATTCTAAGTGTACTATTTGATGGGTTTTAATAAATGAATACATCCATGTAACCCTCACACCTATCAAGATAGACAACATTTCCACATACCAGAATGTCCCACGTGTCACCCCAGTAAACTCCCCCCTGCCACAGAGGCAACCACTGCTTTAACACTTTTTTTGACCATAGATTCATTTTTTTTTTTTTTTAAGATTTTATTTTTTCCTTTTTCTCCCCAAAGCCCCCCGGTACATAGTTGTGTATTCTTCATTGTGGGTTCTTCTAGTTGTGGCATGTGGGACGCTGCCTCAGCGTGGTCTGATGAGCAGTGCCATGTCCGCGCCCAGGATTCGAACTAAGGAAACACTGGGCCGCCTGCAGCGGAGCGCGCGAACTTAACCACTCGGCCACGGGGCCAGCCCCGACCATAGATTCATTTTGATCTAGGACTTCAAACAAAGGAAAATAGTATAATTTCTTTTCTGTCAGGCACCTTTAGCTTGGCACACATCTGTGGGAATTGCTAACGTTGATGTGTGCATCACTAGTTCATTCAGAGCCGCACTAATGAAATACCAAAGCTTGATTTCAACTATTACCAATCAATTTCAAGGTAGGGTGACCAACTGTCCCGGTTTGCACAGAACTGAGGACTTTCAGTGTTAAAGTTAGGAAAGTCCCAGGCGAACACCCTCTGGTGACATCCTTACATGTCTTAATTAGGCTCATTTAAAGACCAAGCCCCTTGAAATATTTTTATCACAATAGCTTCCTTAGCAAACACTTGACTTACATGTTTTTATTTCATAGGCCTGCTTTTGCAGAGCTAGAGAACATGAGACACTTAAACAATTACATTGTGAGGCAACATGGTGTCCCGAAAGGAGAGATTTTCACTTGATTTGCCATATGTGAGATGCTGAGGAAAAAATAAAAACATTAAAGGAAAGAGTGTTTGATTACTGGGGGAAACTTTTCTATATAAATTCAGGGAGATTAGGAAAACTCCTTTGCAACAGCTACAAAAGCAGCGTACATTCCTGCTATAGAAACGGGGGTAGAGACTCAGCCCCTAGAGCAGTGGTTCACAAAGTTGGCTGTGTATTCGAATCAAACTGATGCCTGACTGCTGCCCAGAAAAATTCCGATTTAGTTGGCTTGGAGTATGACCTGGGTGTCAGAATTTTTTAAAGCTCCTCAGGTAACCTGAAGGCACAGGCAAGTTTGAGACCCATCTCCTAAAATGTCTATATTACATCAAATTGTATGATATTAAATTGGGAACAGAAGTAGCTAAAATAGTAAAATATAATTGGTAACATCTAAATAATAGAGGAAATGGTCTTGAATTTGAAACACCTAACTTCGAGTAATTTCAGATTGAAACATGATAATTCTCTTTACTCTTTTAGATCACTCTAATACCAAAACTACAGTCCTCCCTGGATGAGAACGATGAGAATGGAACAATGGGGTGTGAACCACAATGGAAAATTACTATAGACAGCGTGGTAAATTTTTTTTTAAAGCGAAAATCAAAACGAGGAGAGACATCACTCTGTATTCCTTGCTAAAATTCTTACCCATCGACCCAGGGATAGAAGGGATAGGAGCCAATATAGAATGATGTCAAGAGCAGATTACTCTTATAGGCAGCTGGGTTCAATCTCCCTGAGGACCTCTGGAGACTGGTACAACCTGCCCCCACTCGAGGGCAAGAAGCTGGCATATTTTTCCATCAACTCTCGTTCACTGACGGCGCGCTGCTCCTCGAGACTTCAACTCCCCTACTGGTGACCTGCCCAGAGCTTGCTCCTTCAGCCAGAGAAAGTGCTCAGGCAGAGTTCCAGGTGCTTGCTCTAAGAAACCTCTTCCTATATTAGAATGCGGAGAGCTGAGGGGCTAGGGGTGGAAAATGGAAATCACTTGCTATAGTCTACGCCTTCTGCAGAGAATGACAGAACAAGTGACAACTAAGGATGACAACTGAGGAAGGAAAAATAATGAGACACAATGCTCTTGTATTTGTATGCCTGGAAATTTAAGATTTATTTAAGATCTGGGAACATATCCATATGAGAAAATCTGGCAGGAAACAAATATATCAATTGGGATGGTTTGTTGGTTGACAGATTTGAGAGAAAATGTAAACTTTGTGTTCATTTGGGAGAGAAATAGTAACATGGCGGAGGGGGGCCAGTCTATTTGGAAGCCAGATTCAGTCTAAGAATCGGTTGGAAGTGAAATTTTACAATTGGCCTCGCATGATTCAGCTCACAGTTGGACCACAGCAAGAAGTGTGATTGATGGTACAGGACAGGGCAGTCAGCAGCAAGAACCACTAGAGCAGATGGGGCGGCAGCAGATGGTCGGGCAACAGCTGGGGCGACAGCAGCTAGAAATGCAGCATGTGGGCCTACAGCAGCTGGAACCACAGCAGGAGGGGCTGCAGCAGCTGGAGATACAGCAGGAGGGGTGGCAGCAACTGGAAATGCAGCAGCTGGGGCGGCAGCAGGTTGTTCTGCAGCAGGTGGTCTGGCAGCAGCTGGGGCGGCAGCAGCTAGAGATGCAGCAGGAGGGGCGGCAGCAGGTGGGCCGGCAGCACACAGACTGGCAGCACTGGGGCCTGCAGCAGCTGGACACACAGCAGCTGGGGCGACAACAGGTGGTCCTGCAGCAGGTGGTCTGGCAGCAGCGGGGGCGGCAGCAGGTCTCCTGGCAGAGGCCTTGGCCACAGCTGTGCTCAGAGCAGACGGAGCCGCAACAGGAGCTGACCATGCTGTCAGAGGGTGGAGGTTCTGGGTGGGTTTCCAGGAGGGTGGGTTTGTAAGGTTTGAAGTCTCCTTGGCCCAGGTCCCCTTTTATACCCTGCTAAATGGCTGCCGCTATCAAACACAGCACTCTTTCCTTGTCATTGTTTGTCCTAATAAATAGGCGATTATCAAATTAGGCAAGTTTGTTTTCCTGGTAAAACTTTGCAAGATGGAAGGAAAACATTATTTCCTTTTCCTGATGTGTTAGGCTTCATCCCGTCGGCTCTTCCTGAATCAGCTCTGGCGTGTCCTTCTTGCTTTCCTTTCCTCAGAGAAAGCTGTCACGTGATGCTCTGCCTGCAGACGCTGTGTGTGTTAGTCTCACTTCACCCAGCCCATCGTGTCTACTCTTGGGTGGTAACGATTCTGTAGGCAGGCCCACATTCTCTTTGCTGACCTGGGAGGATAGAGCTGCATTTCAGTCTGATGGCTCACTCATGGTGGGTCAGGTGGGCAGAGAAAATTTGCATGTGAAACTTGATAATTCTCTTTATTCTTTTAGATCACTCTACCAAAACTAGAGTCGTCCCTGGATGAGAACGATGAGAATGAAACAATGGGGTGTGAACCACAATGGAAAATTACTATAGACAGCACACTGGATTTTTCCTTAAAACAAAAATCAAAACCAGGTGAGACATCAGTCTGTACCCCCTGCTAAACTTCTTACCCATCGTCTGCCGCAATAGAATTGATAACTAACATCAGGGCCATACACACAAATTATGCATTATCTATGTAAATTGTATCTCTTTTATTACATAGAGTAGATGGAGTGTAATTTTTTTTCTTTCGTGTACGTTTTTCTTTTTAAACTAATTATTTTGTTGGCTTTCAGAATTCCATAATAAAAACCTTAGTTAGGTAAACATCAAGGAAATTTGAATGAAGTGGACCCAATTGATATTTGCGATCACCATTGAGGAACCTGCGTGGTGTCTCCCAGGGAAACTGGACATGTGGTGTTAAAACATCCTTTAAAGAATGGCATGAAAAAAAGGCTTTTCTTATCAGGAATGACATATGTTACATTAGCACACATCATTATTTTTATAAATACCTGGTATGTATTTGTCTACAGCTATGTACTACCACTGTTATAGTGCCTTAGTTATAATATGATCTAAATAAAGAAAACTATAGCAGGCATGGTGAGAAGATAGAAAAATTAACGCATTTCTATTCGATTAAGTTCCTTTATAGTAAAAATTAAACCGCATTCAATATTTGAGAATAAACATGAAATAATACAAGTCTTGATATTAAGGTAGTATGAGTAATTAGAACAATATTTAAAATAAAATAAATGCTCATATACCCTTGATTGAATTTCTCCTTTTTCTTTAACTATCTTCAGTCACTGCTTAATCTACTCTTTAGTTTTTAATCTTAAATAGAGTAAGAATTTCAGTTCACCATGAATTTTTAAAAACTCTTTCTTACTATGAAAAACACATACATACCAAAAATTTTATAAAAAATAGATGCATAATATAAGAAATAATTACGCAGCAAAAATCTGTATACCCAAAGCCCAAGTCAGGAAATAGAACATTGCTGTCACCAAAAGGGCCCTCAATGTGTCTTTTCTTGACCAGGTCTCTCACTTTCCACCCTACAAATATTCACTATCCTGATTTTTAAAGTAATCTTTTCACTGATTTTCTTTGTAGTTTTACCACCTAGGTACGCATCCCTAGTCAATATAGTTTTGTTCTACATGTTTTTGAATTTTATATAAATAGTATCTTATTATATGCATTATATGTTTTTATTCTTTCACGTAATGTTATGTAAGAGTTGTGGTAGGCAGCCTGGAAGATGGCCCAGTGATTTCCATCTCTTTGTGTCCATGGTCTTACGTAATTCCCTCCCCGTGAGTAACTTGCCTGTAACCAACAGCATATGGCAACACCAAGTAACTAAGTTACAATAGACTGTGACTTGGTCTTGCTAACCAGCTCCCTCTCTCTCACTGACTTTGATGAAGCAGCTGCTGTGTGGGAGAGATCTGTGTGGCCAAGAACTAAGCAGAGTCTCCATTCAACAAACAGCAGGAACCGAGGCTCTCAACCCCATGGCCCTTGAGGAACTGAACCCTGTCAGCAACGGCGTAAGGGAACTTGGAAGTGGATTCTTCCCCAGTCAAGACTTCAGATGAGGCCCCCGCGCCAGCTGACACCTTGATGACAGCTTTGTGGACACTGCGAAACAGAGAAGCGAGAATCCAGCTGAGCTGTCCCTGGATTCCTGATCCACAGGAACTATGAGATAATAAATGTGTGTCGTTTTAAGCTCTAAATTTTGAGATAATGTTACATAACAATAGGTATCTAGGACTACACAATACACAGATGAGGAGGGATTGAAATGTGCAGACAAGTGGATATGCTAGAATAGATCTATTTATAAGTCCAGAAAACCCAACCGGCTGACTACGTTCCCTGGGAGGGCTCGGGAGGCATCTATTTTCTAAGTTAATAAGGAATGAGCAGGTAAGAAGGTCAGCAGCCTCACTGAGAAATTCGGTAGTGACTATTCTTTAAAGTCAGAGCTGGTAGTAGTGAATACTGTCCAGAGCTGTGCCCCTGGGAGTAATGGGAATGATAATATCCCTGAATAGCAGAGGCCACATGGCAGCATTTAACTATAAGAAGTAACGGTATTATTATGTGATGAGCAGCAAGTTTGGAATGACAAATGGAGCAGAGTGACGTGTGACCTCCAAGGATCTATCAGTATGGATAACAAAGCATGGCGTTCCCCGAATAGGATATAGGCAACCATCCAGAATACAGCATTAGGGGCCAGCCTGGTGGCACAGAGGTTAAGTTCCCATGCTCCGCTTCTGTAGCCCAGGGTTTATGGGTTCAGATCCCAGGTAGACTTACACTCCATTCATCAAACCATGCTGTGGTGGTGTCCCACATACAAAAAATGGAGGAAGATTGGTACAGATGTTAGCTCAGTGGCAATCTTCCTCAAGCAAAAAGAGGAAGATTGACAACAGATATTAGCCCAGGGCTTATCTTCCTCACCAAAGAAGAGAGAGAGAGAGAGAGAGAGAGAGTATAGCTTTATCCATGTGTGTATGTGTGTGTATTTAAAAGATCTTAAGAATAAATGGGCAAAAGTTTGAGATCAGTGGAAAGTCATGATCCCTTGTCCAGTTTCCAGACGTGAGCCAGTTCTCAGACCTAGAACCTCATGATCCATTGAAAGAAAGGCCAGTCCCCCAGGAGAAAGGACCACAGCAAGTGTGTAAAGTAATGATCTCTCTAGTCCTTTCCCCAAGGAATCTACAGCCATCTACTCAGGGGAAACTGGAATACCCATATGTTCGGATGCTGTTTGATAGCAAATCTGAGTTGACACTGACAGTTGGATACCCAAAATGGCAACGTGGTCCCCCATTAGAATACATTAATCCAGAAACTCAGAGTTGAAGGAGGAGCTCCCCCATCACCTTCACTCCCAGTGATCCATTTGGGGGAATTTAAGCGTCCCTCTCCCATAATCGCAGGCTGTGCATCTAGAGGTCTCAGTTGTAAGAGCGAATGTTACCTTGAGGGGACATAGTAAAGGTCTGATTGGAATTAAAGCTATGGCTGTCACCTTATCACTTTGGGCTTCTAGTGCCAGGGGATCAGCAAGCAAACAAAGGAGCTATGGGAGCAAGGAGGAATATATTTAGCATTTAAGTGATCCACTGGGGGCATTCTTGGTGTTCCTAATTCCAGTTTTAACTGCACATGGGCAGGGACAACAGCTGTAGCCTGATGAGGACATAGTAACCGAGGGCTCAGAGCTTTCAGGGACGAGGATCTAGCTCACTCCACCAGGCAGGTCACCTAGATTAGCAGAGGTACTGCCTCCTAGCCCTCCTCTTGCAGGTTTCCCTAGAAATTGGGACCAGCCACTTGTAGTGAGCTTAATGAGAGAAATACGCATACCTGAGCAGTGCTGGGGTAGACTATCTGATGTCCTATCCAGACCCCTTTTGCCATAAAGGCCCCCATCCCCAAGTTTGTGTGAGTAGCGCTAGTCACTCACACCCTTCACCCACACTGTTCTCCACGTAATTGTTCTCAGCCTAAAGGAGCCTCCACACCTGAAGGTTTCTGTCCTCTCCACCCCATCTCCCCACCAGGGATGGTCCACAGCTGATGATAACTGATGTCGGAGTGCCAAGACCCAACCACCTCTCTTCTATGAGGGGCAGGTCTGTAGTACCATTCACACCCATCATCTGTGGGCTCAGATGAGGGCAGAATTCAACTGGCTTAGCTTCTCCCACTACCCTATTCTGCCTCCCTCAGTGTCTTACTGATTTCTCCGGACTCCACTTCCCTATAAATCACTTGTGCAAGCGTCCCTCTTTCAGACTCTGCTTTTAGCAAATCCAACATAAGACACACAGCTTGGGGCAGACCTCCTAAACATAGCCTCCTTCAGGATGAGCATTACTAACATGGTGAGCCACACTACCTGTGGGAGTGTGTCAAGTCCCTCAGATATAATGACGTGAAAAAAAACCCCATGGATTGAAGACTACTACTCTAAGAAGAATTGTGCAAAAGTTGTAGGAAGAAGCAACGAAATGTTCAAAAGATTTTGTGCTTCAGCTGACAGTAAATTCAAGAGTTGACTGGGACCACGGCGACCATTCGGATTGTATAAAAAGTGTTTTGAAGGGCACTGACAATGAGATTTGGAACACTGGTGTCTCAGATAGAGTGCCTTGAAGGGCAGACCCAAAAACAAGGGTTTGAGAGCAAGTAGCTTATTTGGGAGATGGTCCTAAGAAGCCATGTAGGGAATCTGGGAAGCGACCCAGGGATAGAAGGGATATGAGCCAATATAGAATGATGTCAAGAGCAGATTACTCCTGTAGGCAGCTGGGTTCAATCTCACTGAGGACCTCTGGAGACTGGTACAACCTGCCCCCACTCGAGAACAAGAAGCTGGCAAATTTTTCCATCAACTCTCGTTCACTGACGGCGCGCTGCTCCTCGAGACTTCAACTCCCCTACTGGCGGCCTGCCCAGAGCTCGCTCCTTCAGCCAGAGAAAGTGCTCAGGCAGAGTTCCAGGTGCTTGCTCTAAGAAACCTCTTCCTATATTAGAGTGCGGAGAGCTGAGGGGCTAGGGGTGGAAAACAGAAATCACCTGCTGTAGGCTACGCCTTCTGCAGAGAAGAACGACAGAACAAGTGACAACTAAGGATGACAACTGAGGAAGGAAAAATAATGAGACACAATGCTCTTGTATTTGTATGCCTGGAAATTTAAGATTTATTTAAGATCTGGGAACATATCCATATGAGAAAATCTGGCAGGGAACAAATATATCAATTGGGATGGTTTGTTGGTTGACAGATTTGAGAGAAAATGTAAACTTTGTGTTCATTTGGGAGAGAAATAGTAACATGGCGGAGGGGGGCCAGTCTATTTGGAAGCCAGATTCAGTCTAAGAATCGGTTGGAAGTGAAGTTTTACAATTGGCCTCGCATGATTCAGCTCACAGTTGGACCACAGCAAGAAGTGTGATTGATGGTACAGGACAGGGCAGTCAGCAGCAAGAACCACTAGAGCAGATGGGGCGGCAGCAGATGGTCGGGCAACAGCTGGGGCGACAGCAGCTAGAAATGCAGCATGTGGGCCTACAGCAGCTGGAACCACAGCAGGAGGGGCGGCAGCAGCTGGAGATACAGCAGGAGGGGCGGCAGCAGGTGGTCCTGCAGCAGGTGGTCTGGCAGCAGCTGGGGCGGCAGCAGATGGGCTGGCAGCACACAGACTGGCAGCCCTGGGGCCTGCAGCAGCTGGGGCGGCAGCAGCTAGAGATGCAGCAGGAGGGGTGGCAGCTGGTGGGCTGGCAGCACACAGACTGGCAGCACTGGGGCCTGCAGCAGCTGGACACACAGCAGCTGGGGCGACAACAGGTGGTCCTGCAGCAGGTGGTCCGGCAGCAGCGGGGGCGGCAGCAGGTCTCCTGGCAGAGGCCTTGGCCACAGCTGTGCTCAGAGCAGACGGAGCCACAACAGGAGCTGACCATGCTGTCAGAGGGTGGAGGTTCTGGGTGGGTTTCCAGGAGGGTGGGTTTGTAAGGTTTGAAGTCTCCTTGGCCCAGGTCCCCTTTTATACCCTGCTAAATGGCTGCCGCTATCAAACACAGCACTCTTTCCTTGTCATTGTTTGTCCTAATTAATATGTGATTATCAAATTAGGCAAGTTTGTTTTCCTGGTAAAACTTTGCAAGATGGAAGGAAAACATTATTTCCTTTTCCTGATGTGTTAGGCTTCATCCCGTCGGCTCTTCCTGAATCAGCTCTGGCGTGTCCTTCTTGCTTTCCTTTCCTCAAAGAAAGCTGTCCCGTGATGCTCTGCCTGCAGACGCTGTGTGTGTTAGTCTCACTTCACCCAGCCCATCGTGTCTACTCTTGGGTGGTAACTATTCTGTAGGCAGGCCCACATTCTCTTTGCTGACCTGGGAGGATAGAGCTGCATTTCAGTGTGATGGCTCACTCATGGTGGGTCAGGTGGGCACACGTTTGCATGTGAAACACGATCCTTGGCATGAGAATAAGACTATTAGGACATATTCTATCCCCTCCCCCCAACCCGACTGCGAATCATGGGACATTTTCTAGATTTTCTGATGGAAAAAACAACTGTTCTTAGCAAGAAAATTAAGTCGTGAAATTTTGGTGTCTTTTTTTTCCCATAGCTTCGTTGATATATGCTTAATATACAAAAAATTGCACACGTTTAATGCATAAACTTTGATAAGTTTGGACATATGCATACACCCACAATACCATCACCGCAACTATGGCAATAAACATATCCATCACCTCCAAAAGATTTCTTGAGTCCCTTTGCTTTTTCCCATGGTAAGAACGCTTAGCACGAGATCTATCCCCTTAACGCGCGTCAAGTGCACCGCATGGTATTGGTCACTATAGGCGCAGTGCTGTAGAGCACATCTCTAGACCTTATTCGTCCTGCATAACTGTAACTTTATACTCAGTGAACATCAACCACCTAGTCCCTCTTCCCTCCATGGCTGGAAACCACCATTTGATTCTCTGCTTCTCTGAGCTTGACTATTTTGGATATCTCACATAAATGGAACCATGCAATATCTGTCCTTCTGTGACAGACTGACTTCGCTTAGCATAACGTCCTCCAGATCCATGCATGTTGTCCCAAATGGCCGAATTCCCTTCTTTTTTAAGTCTTAACAATATTCACTTCCATTAATGTATCAATGTTGACATTCAAGGTGTAATGGCAATAAGAGGTTGGCAGTAAGTGTGGACTTGTACTGGGTCACGGTCATGTGAAACGTGTGCCTTTTTCATTACAAACTGCTTCAATCTCTTCCGATAGATGTGCAGTGGTTATTTTAGACCAGCAATTCTCAATCTCTTTTTCTTCCCGCTACCGGGAGCAACATGGTTCATTTTGGTGATAATATTATGACTGAGGAAGAGGTGTTGAGGGGAAATATGACCTGAGGGTGTGTGTAGTTAGTTGGGAAGTAAATTTTCCCAAGAAGTTTAGCTATATTTACTCCTCCTGAATCTCATGCACCATGTTGCATTCAAAACTACTCCTTTCAATCTAAGAAAGGCTCTGACATTTCATCCTGTTAGATTTAGCCTCTTGTGCAAGGATGTCTGAAGCATTTGGAACCATGATTCTGTCATTCAACATGTTCCGTCTCCCCCTACCTCGTGGCCTACAAATATTTTGATGAACGTGATACCGACCCTGATATCAGTTTCCCCACATTAAACCCAGCATATATGGGGTTAAAACCAAAACACTCATTCCCTGCTTACTCTCTGGCTTCCTGGCTCCAGAATCCACTATCCTCCATGGAGACAGACACCTTCAAGGACAAGCACCTGGACTATCTCCTCCCGCAAAGAGATAGGGGCTGGTGGGAAAGCTGCTGACCAGCAAGGTCATGAGCTCCCTCCTGTCTGCAAGTAGTCTCAAGGCCAAAGACAGGCTGGTGGGAAAGCTCCGACCAGCAAGGCCATATGCTTCCCTCCCCTACCTAAAACTCCAAATAAAAACCCTTCCTTTTAGCTTTTCGGGGAGTTTGGGATTTCAGCATTAGCTGCCCTCTCTCCTTGCTCAGTGCTGTGCAAAAATAAAATTCCTACTTTCTTCCACCACCCCCGGTGTCAGAGATTGGCTTGCTGCGCAATGGGTGAGCGAACTCACTTCCGGTTCGGTAACAAACATATTTTATGAAAAGACTCTCAACAAAGTTGAGATGTCCATGGCTCTGTTCTCAGAAAGATCAGTCCAAGACAGGCATGACTACTCAAAAACTACCTTAAAGTTGAAAATGATATGTATTTGGAAGAGCATAGTACACAGACAGGATTTCACAGTAAGTGTCCTCCTCTCTTTCTGGATTTCCTTGACCGCCAAGAGGAAAAATGTATATAAAGAGTCAACCAATGTGCTGGCAGTTATCCTCATTTTTGGAAACACTAGTCAGCTCGTCACATGGCTGCTGTATGTGAGAGACTGACTTGCCCCAAAAAACTGCAAGGAGCTGGTATAGGATAAGTGGGCGGCTAATGGCGGGAAACAAATTTTGACTCACCATGGTGAAGCTGCTTTATGGAATGCCTTCCTCCGTATGGTCAGTGGAGGGATTTAAGTGTAAGCTCGTGTTGCAGAGGGAGACTCAAGGACCAGGTGGAGGAGACTGGATGAAAGGACTTTGAGGATCCCTTTCTACCTTAAGGCGCTCATAAGTCTAATAAACTAAACTCCTTGTTATGCTTTTTTGTTCCTAGCAAGTTTCTTCTCCTGTCCTGGCCCCAATTTCCAGGTTGACACAACCAGCGTGATCATACCCTGGGCTCCTGGTTTAACCTCTGCTCGGAAGTCTGGCTGATTTGAGTCTGCCTTGCATATAACCCTGATGAACCCAGATACAGCATTTTGTTGGAGAGATGCTGGAAACACCTCACTCTCTGAAAATCACTGGGTTGGGGGTCTCTAATGTGACTTTCAGTTCTACAAATCCATACATTTATGATGATTTTTTCAATTCTCTTTTACTTGACTACTCATTGTTCTCCTTTCTTCCTCCTATCAATGTTCATGTTTATATTTTAGAATTTATACTTGTTCTCAGATTTAGTCATGGAAAGGCACATTTTTAAGAGTGTTCACTTTTATAGGATATAATATATCCCTTTGTTCATCCAAAGAAGGATAGAATTAGAAACAAAATACCCAGTCATAAATGCCCAAAAGATAAGCCTGGCTGAGATAAATTAAGACTTAGGAAAGTGTTACAGAACTCTTGAAAAATTATTTTTCCCTCCCGGTACGTTGGTGGATGATGCTAAATCCAGTAACGCCCTCTTAACCCTGAACATAACTAAGTAGACTACAGAAATAAACGCAATCTGTGCTTCTATATATTTAGCAACGTATTTTACCTGCTTCATGCCTATCTACCTTTCAAAATTTAACTGAGACATAAACTGATGATTATACCAAAAAAGTGCTATTTAGATTCTCAGAAGAAAAGAGTGATTCTCTTGCAAGAAAGACTAAAATATTAACACCCTTTAATCCAAGAAGAAAATAAAGACGTTTATGATGAAAGTTTTAAAAGCCATAAGGAATAAGAGATAAAGGACATAAGGACAAATTTACTAAATCGAACACTGTTAGAATTAGACAGCGTCTTGAAACTGAAAAGTTGCAATGTTTGTCTCCAAGTATGAAGCCTCAATACATTTTTCCAAATAAATAAATAGATACATACATACATACATGCATACATAAATCTGAACTTGGAACAGCCTAGACGTCCTTCAACAGGTGAACGGTTGAACAACCCAAAGTGTGGTACATCCATGCTGTAGAATATTACTCAGCAATAAAAAGCAGCAAGCTATTGATACGCTGAACAACTTGCGTGATCTCAAGGGAACGATGCTGAGTGCAAAAAAGCCAATCATCAAAGGTTACATACTGTAAGAGTCCATTTGCAGAACACGCTTGAAATAAGATTATAGAGCTGGAGAACAGATTAGTGGTTGCCAGGGGTCATGGATGGTGAGTAACAAGGAGTGGGCAATGGGTGTGTTTATACGAGGATAACACGAGAAGGCCTTATGGAGACATAACTACTCTCCATCTCGATTGTGATGGTGGTTACACCAATCCATACACATGGTAAAATTGCATAGAACCACACACACACGTGCAGGTAAAACCGGTAAAATTTGAACAAATTCTATGGATGGCACCAAGGACGATTTCTGAGTTTTGATATGTACCATAATTCCATAAAATGTGACCACTGGGGGAAACTGGGTCGAGGGACCACAGGACTTTGCTGTCATTTTCTTTTCAACTTTCCATGAATCTGTAGTTGTTTCAAAATAAAATTTAGAAGAAAAAAAAAAACAAAAGAGGCTAACTGGAGGTAAAAGAGAGGATGCCTTTATGTGTCTACCATGCACCTTTATCTCAATGAATCTTTATGACAACTTTGTTTTTTTCCCTTCAATCAATCGAGTTTTGTTTGAGAAATGAAAGGATTCTTGTTGATAGGAGATAGTCTGAAAATTCTAGTCTGCTGCCTTGAAGTCAGATACACACGGCTTTTTAAAAAATTATTATTTTTTGGTTAAGTGTAAGAATACTTAACATAAGACATAACCTCAGAAAATTTTAAGTATACAAATCAGTGTTGTTAGCTATAAGCACTGTGCTGTATTGTAGATCTCCAGAACTTACTTATCTTGCATAACTGAACTTCGTTCCCTTTGAGCAACATCTCTCCATTTCCTCCTTCCCTCAACCCCTGGCAATCGCCATTCTACTCTCTGCTTCTATGAGTTTGGCTATTTTAGATTTCACATGTAAGTGAAATCGTACAGTATTCTGCATATGGCTTATTTCACTTAGCATAATGTCCTCCAGGCCCATCTGTTGTAGCAAACAGTAGGATTTCCTTCTTTTTAAAGGTTGAGTAATATTCCATTGTACATATACACCACATTTTCTTTATCCATTCGTCTGTCAATGGACACTCAGATTGTTTCCACATCTTGGCTATTGTGAATAATATTGCAATAACCATGGGGATGCAGCAATCTCTTTGAGATTATGATTTCAATTTCTTTGGATTAATACCCATAAAAGGGATTGCTGGATCCTATGGTAGTCCTATTTTTAATTTTTTGAAGAACCTCCATACTGTTTTCCATAATAGCTGTGCCAATTTACATTCCCACCAACAGTGTACCAGGGTTCTCTTTTGTCCACATCCTCATCAACATTTGTTCTCTCTTGTTTATTTTAATAATAGCCACCCTAACAGGTGTGAGGTGATATCTCATTGTGGTTTTGATTTGCACTTCCCTGATGATTAATGATGTATGACAACCTTGATAGGTGGGTATTGTGATCCTTCCTTTAGAGAAAAGCAATCCTAGGTTGAGAGAGCTTACGTAACATGTCCAAGATCATAGCTGGTATGCAGTACCATCAAAATTCAGACCTAATTCTCAGTCCCAAATCCACGGGCTATCCTCTGTACTGAGCTTCTCTATTTAATTGGTTTAAATCAATTCATGGATTACAGTTTACTGAGGACCCTTTTTTTGGTAGCAGTTATAATCCATAGCTCTCATATTATATGCATTAGGTTCAAAGATGCCTTCCTTTGAACCTTTTTTAATTTCTGCTGTGAGATTGATTCTGGTCTAGATAAAAATCTCATTGGCAAGTGCCAACCTAATTTTTCTATTGTAGGGTCCCCTGAGAACATGCACTCCCGTGTTGTGCAGAAAAAGAGACAGCACTATGCAGTGAACATTTCATTAATAAGAAATAAAGAGAGATGAGCAATTTTAGTGCCTTTGAATGCTAAAAAGTTTTATTGGGGAACATGAAGCAATTCCACATGAAAATGGATTCCATAGAAAAACATTAGAAAGAAAAAATCTAGAAGGGGAACATTTGAAGACTCCTACATTTTAAATCAGAATTAGAAATTCTAAAACAATTCGATGCAAAATCTGGCTGTAAATTCTGATTCACTAGTAATAAGATGTTTCTACAAAAGAGAATAAATAATAATATAGACACCAAAAGTTTCCAAATCAGTCCATGGGTGTGTTTGTAAATTCATGATATTAAGGAAGTGCCACATGTTTTATTGAATTAGACACTCGCTGCCTGGACTGAAGGATGGGGACAAGGAGGTTCATGAATCTAGAGCAGGACACTCAGCAGTAAGAACGGCCGAAGCAGCTGGGACGACAGCAGGTTGTTCTATAGCAGGTGGTCTGGCAGCAGGAGGGACGGCAACAGCTCGACACATAGCAGCTTGGGTGGCAACAGGTGGTCCTGCAGCAAGGGGGCTGGCAGCAGGTGGGCTGGCAGCACACAGATTGGCAGCACTGGGGCCTGCAGCAGCTGGACACACAGCACCTGGGGGGGCGACAACAGGTGGTCCTACAGCAGGTGGTCCTACAGCAGGTGGTCTGGCAGCAACTGGGTTGGCAACAGGTCTCTTGGCAGATGCCTTGGCCACAGCTCTGATCAGAGCAAACAGAGCCACAACAAGAGTTGGCCATGGTGTCAGAGGATGGAGTTTCTGGGTGGGTTTCCAGGAGAGTGTATTTCTTGAATCTGGAAGTCTTCTTGCTCCAGGTCCCCTTTTATACCCTGCTGAGGAAAGTCTTCGCTTGTTATTGTTTACCCACAAAAGTAAGCAATTGTTAAACTAGGCAATTACATTTTCCAAGTTGGGTGGAAAACATCACTTCTTTTTCCTGGTGGATTAGGATTTATCCCATTGACTCTTCCTGCATCACACCTTAGCTGTCTTCCTTTGTGTGCATCACCTTCATTCGGATCCTGGTCAAATATTCTAAGCTGAATGTGTTGATTACTGCTCCATCTACTCTTTCCTCCTGAATCACCTCCTGTCATTCCTTCCTTGAAGGCATCATCTATGTTTCTAGATCCTGCAGCTCCTTCCGCAGAGCACTTATTTGTGGATTTTGACATGGGCGAGTCGAGGTGTCAGTTTACCCCACGTGTCAGTCTTACCAGGCCCTCAATTTGTGCAGCATTCCTTATGGAAGAGAGATTTAGTTACAGGTCCGATCCAGATATAAGGAAATCTTGGAAGGATAGAATCTTAACATGGAAAAACATGGTAAAATCCATCAGTGTGGTCAGTTGTAAAGAAAAATAGTCAGGCAGGAGGTCAGGAGAATCCCCAGGACACCCTGACTGTGTTCTCATCCCATTTCCTGGACTTGAAAATATTGGCAGATTTCCTCTTTTTATTTTTTATTTTATTTTTTAAGGTTGGTCCTGAGCTAACATGTGTTGCCAATCTCTTTTTTCCTTCTTCTTCTTCTTCTTCCCCCCAAATCCCCCCAGTACATAGCTGTATATTTTAGTTGTGAGTCCTTCTAGTTGTGGCATGTGGGATACCATCTCAGCGTGGCCTGATGAGCGGTGCCATGTCTGCACCCAGGATCCGAACCAGCGAAACCCTGGGCCGCCAAAGTGGAATGTGTGAACTTAATCACTCGGCCATGGGGCTGGCCCCAGATTCCCTCTTTTTAAAGAACAAATTTATTTGAAATGGACATAGCCCTTCAGAAATCACCACTATTAATAACAGTGCTTATGTTACTGAAAATATTTATATTTATATTGAAAATAGAATATTCAGTGTAACCTCAATTATGTAAAAAAGTATGTAGGAAAACATTGACATAATTACCAGAAATATTAATAGTAATTATCTCTGATTGATAGACTTATGGAAAACTTTTTCTTCTGAACAATTTTACCTTCCACTTTTTTCTTTGATGACTTGTTTTTCTTTTGTAAACAGAAAAAAAATTAAAGAAAACTTTGTTGTGCTGCTATACTATTTAGAGATCTCTACCATGACCCTCCGGGGCTGGGGAGTAGGGGGGTTCCAGGCCAGCATGATGCTCAGCCTGTAGCAACAGTTCAATTGTACTGGTTGTTAAGATACTGAAGTTCCATTTACGACTGCCCTGAGCTCCTTGAAAGATTGAAAAGGAGATTGAAAGGAGAAAAGCAAATGTAAGTTTAAGAACATCTATATCTCCTGTATACATGGCAGATACCCAGAAAGCTGAGTGTCCCCATCAGTGCCACATCCCTGTGACCCAGCAAGGAAAGGTTAAAGCCAAGAATATGAGGGAGGGCTTTAGGCTCCTCCTCCAGGGCTAAGCCTGACGTCCATTCTGATTAGTTGGTGACTTTAAACTACTGGTTTTCAAATATTTTGAGTCTCACTCCTGCCCTGGAATGCCGACTCACAAACCTGAGGCTGCCCAGAGCTACATTTCACAAGAGAGCGTTCAACAAAGAAATATGCGTTTAAGCTGCTTAGGAAGCAGGAGAGCAGTGCCTCACCAGAGGGAAGGGGCTTGCTGTGAACTATAAGAGAAGCCACAGAGTCCTAGCCAGGAGGCCAGTTACTAGACTTTGTTCTCAGTTCCCCTCTGGATGGTCTGACTCGGAAGGTCTGGGGAGGAGCCTGGACTTCCCCTCTCTATTCTCTACAGTCTCTGAGGTAATTCTAATTCAGAGCCAGAGTTTCAAACTCCCAGAATGAGATGCCAAAGTTTGAGGTGGAGCAGCAGCAACTGGACAACTTAGAGAATGAGGCAGAGGCACAAGTGGGACTGGCAGAAATGGAGTACATTGTGGGTGGGTGGTGGAGAGGAAAAATAGTTTTCCCTCTATCCTTCTAGGTTCTTGCCTGAACGCCCCTGGTAATAAAAGACAGATTGAAAGGAGAAGAACAAATAGAAGTTTAAGAACACCTATATCTCCTGTATACATGGCAGATGCCCAGAAAACTGAGTAACTCCCCCAAATGGCCCAAGCCACCACCTTAAATATTATCTCCAGCTAAAGACAAAAGATGTTGGGGTTGGGGCTGAGGGCAGCTAGTTATAGAAGGTTACCATGATAAGAGTTTCTGGAAATTTAGAGTCATCCTTCTCTTCCTGGTACAGAGAGGGAGACACTCCCATGAATGGAGATTTCCCTTATAAATATAAATGTCTTTTACAAAGGGTACCTTCTACCCAGTTTTCAGAGCTTCTCCTGTGTCTGCTGTTCTTAAAAATAATCAGTCTAAAATAATCCTTATGCCTAAGAGGCGTATCTTAGAGTGGCACACTCTGCTTCCCCTCAGGATCTTAGACGAGAATAGCTAATAGACGTAGGAAAAGATGTTTAGATCAACTTGTGATTAAGAATATACAGCTTAAAATAACCAAATATTATTTTCTCTTTTCAGGGCTGGTGCTAATGTGGAGAAAGTGGAAGGTTTATAAATGAATGGTGAAGTGTATATTGATGCCACTCTTTGGAGGATGTGTTGGCAATAGCTATTGTTAAAAAAATGAGACCACAGGCCCAATGCTCTAAAAGCCCATGATACTGTGGGGGATCAGAATTGTTCACCCCAAAATGTGTCTCTCTGGTTAAGGACAAAAGACTCTGAAAGAAACTTTGACATTCCTCCTAACTGCCTAGGAGAATTTAAGATAGAAGACCCGTCCCCAAGATAGGCCATCACCCTAGATAACTCTGGGTATCATAGGCTGGCAGGGTCCTTGCCAAGCCCATTCTTATCAAAGTTCTGTCACCAAACATTTACTTTTCCATCTCCATGTGAATTGTCTTCCTCCCCTTTGAAGCCCCAAACCACTACCCTCAGCATCCTCTTTTGTCTTTGGCTGAAGATGATATTTAAGGAGGTGGATTTGGCCATTCTGGTGAGTTGCTCAGCTTTCCTGGGTTTCTCTTATGTACACATGTTATAAAGCTTTGCCTGATTTTCTCTTGTTATTCTATCTCACGTCAATTTACTTCTTACACAAGCCAGAAGGACATAGAGGGTAGAGGAATTATTTTCCTCCGCTACAATCCCAAACCTAGATTTAATACCTCATCTAATTATAGTTTCATCTCTCTGAAATGTAATTTTTTTTTTTGATGAGGAAGATTGGCCCTGAGCGAACATCTCTGCCAATCTTCCTCTATTTTGTATGTGAGGTGTCACCACAGCATGGCTTGATGAGTGGTGTGTAGGTGTGCACCCAGGATCTGACCCCACGAACCCTGGGCCGCCAAAGCGGAGCACATGAACTTAACCACTAGGCAACCAGGCCAGCCCCTGTGAAATGCAATTTTAATTGGCCAGTCTGAAACTTTCTGGTCAGCACCAATGAGGTCATCCACCATGTGGGCCCTCTCCATCCCCAGAGGAAGAAGAGGCAATCTGTATGATAAAACCCTCGCCATTCCCTTTCCAGTAAAAGAAGATATCCCGGCTTAAAAATAATCCCTTCTTTTCTTTTGCTAAGAGCTCCTTTGTCCCATACTTCTTCCTATAAAAACCTCCCCATTTTGTATAACCTCTCTGAGTGCCCAGCTAGTTGCTAGAGGAAATGCTGCACGATTCATGAATCATCTAATAAAGCCAATTAGATGTTCAAATATGCTCTGTTGAATTTTGTTTTTTAACATTCTTAAAACTATAAAGGCAAATTTGTGATCCAATAATCCCACTTTAAAATTCTAAAGGCTGTCCTTCCTCATCTTCCTTTGCTGCAGCTTCTCCTCTCTTGACCTGTCAGTGTTGAGATGCTCCCATGGCTCCGACTTTACCCTCTTTCGTTTATCCTCAATTTACCGACACATTCTCCCTGTGTGATTTCACCCAACTCCATAATGACCAAGAATACCAGATTTTTATCTCCATCCCTGACTTTTCCACTGAGCTGCAAATTTCCTACCTCATATCTTCATTTGGGTGACTAATACCTATGTTCAAGTTCACATGGTCAAAACAGAACCTTTGATCTCCCTCTTCCCTGAGATTCATTCCTCCCTCAGTCTTCATGCAAGTAAATGGCACTGTCATAGGCTCAATTGCTAACTGAAAATTCTAGATGACCCATGATTAATCCCTTCTCTCTCTCTGCATGTCCAGACCGTCAGTAAGTCTCTGCCAAGTCCCCAGAACATTTCCCTGTACCTTCTCTCCATCTCCATTGCCACTGTCTTTGTCCAAGCAACTATCTTCTCTCACTTGTACCAGCGTAATAATTTCTTAACTAGAGTAGGGGAGGAAGAAATTTTCCTCTACCCTCTAGGTTCTTCTGGCTGGTCTGAGAACTAAATTGACATGAGACAGATTAATAGGAAAAAAATCAGATTTCATTAATTTCATATGTGCGGGAATCCCACATACAAGAGAGAATCAGAGACCCCACATACATGAGAAGGTCAGAGACAAAAAGATAAAATTAGGTATATGTGCCATCTTCAGCTAAGGAATGGGATAGGAGCCTGAGGCTTCAGAGGGGAGGAGGGTAATTCATGGGACGATAAGAAGAGCAGATGTTTAATCATTAGAGGTTTGCCCTGCCATACAGATAGGTCATAAAAATGCATTTCTGGTAGTAACTCTTATTATGGACAAGGCCCTTAATTTAAATTCTTTAAAGGAGAAATAAAAGTCTGTTGAGCCCTCGGATCTTAATTGCTTTTAGCTCAAAATATTCCTCATGCCAAAGTGGCACATCTTGTGGAGGTTTGTTCTG